ATAATAATAATAATAATAATAATAATAACAATAACAACACCTGTTCTGCAGGCTAGTTTGGATACAAACTCTGCAGAAAACAAGATTATTGTTTTGTCCACACTCAAAAATATGAAATTGGCAAAATTACACACAACTAAAAAATAATAGCAAAGAAAGCGTCAACCTCGGAAGTTCTATAAAAAAGCGGCTCTAGGATGGGGAGCAATTTGGGGTTCAGTCCAGGGATTGCAAAATTCACCTGAACCACGACAACTGCACATCCTAACCGAAAAATTTCTAACGCCCTCCCCCCACCCGTGCCGCATAGGGTTGTAAACTTACAAATTATTCCCAAAAGTGTGTATTAGCTCTGCATTCAAATACTTCATCACTTCTGGATCTGCCCATTCGTCACCACACATTGTTGGTCCAATGGCCTGAATGGCAACACAAATATAACCAGTGAACGTGACTACGTCAAAAATAAAGGCCAGTATATAAATTAAAAAAGCATGATTAACTCTAGTGATTTGAGTGCCGAATCACTGGCTATTTTGTTCACCAAGGAAGTTCTTACCAGCCTAATTTGCGCACTAATTAAGACGTACGGCATGTTGATCGCCGTTTATAGCTTGTTTTCGAAATGAAGTTCCCGATCAAAAACAAACTCAGAGCAGAAAGCAGAAGAGAAGCAAAATTATTCTAATGCGCCCGTGATTTCCTCCAATTCCAGCGGTTTTCAATCTTGTTCCTAGACCACTCTCTTGTCACGCAAGAAACCAAGATGGCGTCTTGGTTGTCATCTCTTGATTTCTCCTTTTCCTTGGGGAAAAATGTGCTCGTCGGAGTCTCCATTGGATTAGGTTTAGGGATTGGAATAGGTGCAGCAATAGCTGCGTCAAGAAAAGTGTTCCCTTTGCAAACACAAGATCAAAAACTTGTGATTCACTTTGCGGAGCTGACCAACGAGATCAAAGAACTTCGTGGCGTTATGGTGAGGCTTGAAGTTTGCTTCACTGAGACCAGAACAACACGAATAGTACCGCTGAAAGGCGAGTTATCTGCTCTACAAAGTGACGAAGAGGAGACAGAAGAAGATGAGTTTTATGAGATGTCTGGAGAATCTGAGCCTTTATCAAGGTCTGTTTCAAGTTTAATCATTAATATGTTTTTGTTTTGATTTTTCTTCAATACCAGTAGACAGGTTAGTAAGCTTTGATCAGTGGCCAGACTCTAAGTTTTTAGCCATTTTGCCATGTGCATTTCCCCCCGAAAAAATTACTCGCCTATTCTATTCCTTCCGACTTTTCTTTCTTAAATTTAATTTAATTCGTGAGATTTTCATATNCTTCGTGGCGTTATGGTGAGGCTTGAAGTTTGCTTCACTGAGACCAGAACAACACGAATAGTACCGCTGAAAGGCGAGTTATCTGCTCTACAAAGTGACGAAGAGGAGACAGAAGAAGATGAGTTTTATGAGATGTCTGGAGAATCTGAGCCTTTATCAAGGTCTGTTTCAAGTTTAATCATTAATATGTTTTTGTTTTGATTTTTCTTCAATACCAGTAGACAGGTTAGTAAGCTTTGATCAGTGGCCAGACTCTAAGTTTTTAGCCATTTTGCCATGTGCATTTCCCCCCGAAAAAATTACTCGCCTATTCTATTCCTTCC